TGAGTTCTAGGTGAGTTCCGGGTCTTTTGAACCCTGTCTGCCTGTCTTGCAGCCCACCACTTTGCCATCCTCTGGGCGTCGGTGGGGAACACGGCGCCGGCCACTTTCTGGGCGACGTACCACCTGGTGAGCCACCCGGTGGCGCTGCAGGCGGTCCGACAGGAGATCCAGGACGTCCTGCGGCTGGACGGCGTTCAGTGGCGCGGCGACAACGACGTGACGCTCAGCCGAGAACAGCTGGAGCGGCTCCCCTACCTGGGTACCTGCACTCACTGCTCTGATGTTGGTGGTGTCACGCTGATCAATAACCGCCGCCGTCCTCCACAGAGAGCGCCATCAGGGAGAGCCTCCGCCTGTCCTCGGCCTCCATGAACATCCGGGTGGCCCAGGAGGACTTTGGTCTGCGGCTGGACGACGAGCGCTCGGTGCCGGTCAGGAAAGGAGACATCATCGCCCTGTACCCTCAGAGTATGCACCTGGACCCCGAGATCTACGAGGAGCCGCAGGTACGGGAACGAAACGCCGTCATGTTTGTATTTGACTCTGTTTTTATGGGCCGACTGGACCGTCATGATTTAAACCCAGAGACAGTGAAGTGATGTCACACGTTAATCAGCTGAAACGTTACGTGATCATCAAAGTTTTCACGTTAAATTTAAATGTTGCACAAAAAAACTAAAGCCTCCACAAACTACTGAGAAACGCAATTCCTCAAATTCTATAGAAATGAGTGTTCAGATTTCCAGATGATCAGTTCGGTCCCTGAACTCAACTGGTTGCATTAAAGTGCGTCCAGCTCACTGTTCATCAGAGTCTCTGAACTTTCACTGGAACGGACGAAACGTGTTTCATGAGTCGGTGAATCGTGAATGTTTCTTAAACTGTTCCTGAACTTTCACTCTGTTGAACGTTTCCTACAGGTTTCTTGAACATTCCTTGAATGTTTCCTTCATATTTCTTGAATATTTTTTTAATGTTTGCTGAAGGTTTCCTGTATGTCTATTGAAGCATCAACTGAATGCTTCCTTAATGTTTCCTGAACGTTTCCCTAATGTTGCCAGACTGTTTATTGAACATTTCCTGTATGTTTCTGTGAAGCTCCTCATGTGCGGGACCAGACACACTGATTTCAAAGTAAAAGCCTGACAGAGGCTCTCTGCCACCAAACACTGATTCAGATGTTTGCTGTGTTTTCCGGAGGTCAGAATGAGTGACTGACTCACAGCTGCTGCCATCTTCTGGAGTCTGAACGTAACTACGTCCAAATCCAGTTTGTTTATTATTCACTTGTAATCACATTACAAACACTGGAATCCTCTTCTTCATATAAATGTAGTTTGTTTGGTAGAAAAAGTTTAAAAAAAGAAACAACTTGTTCCCAATGTTCCGGAAACATTCAGAAAACGTTGAAGAACAGTTTAGAAAAGAAACAAAGATTAGTGGAAACATTCAAGAAACGGCAGACATGAAACGTTCTGGGAATGTTGACAAACATTCACGAATCTTTCAGGAGAAAACTAAGAACGTTCAGAAAATGCTCAAGAAACATTCAGGAAACATTTACCACATATATAAATATTATGTGACTGATGAGGTGAAAGTGTTGATAGAAAGGTTCAGAAAAAACATTGGGGAAACATTAAAGAGACTGAGGAAACATTAAGGAAACATCAAGGAAACCCTGGGGAAACGTTTCCCGCTACATTCAGACGACTGAGTGCAGGAGCAGCTCTGGTTCTGCCACCGACGCTCTTTGCTCTTCCTCAGACGTTCCGGTTCGACCGCTACACGCAGGACGGCCAGCAGAAGACGGATTTCTACAAGAACGGCCAGAAGCTCAAGAACTACCTGATGCCGTTCGGCTCCGGCTCCTCCAAGTGTCCCGGCCGACACTTCGCCCTCAACGAGATCAAGCAGTTTGTGAGTCTGCTGCTGCTGTACTTCGACCTGCAGCTGGAGGACGGTCAGCCCAGAGCCTCGCTGGACACCAGCCGGGCCGGACTGGGAATCCTGCTGCCGGCCGCCGACGTCCGCTTCCGCTACCGGCTCAGAACCCAAGAACAGGACTGAGGCTGCAGCTTCACGAGGCTTCAGGCAGTCCCAAGAACCTGATGTTCGCATAAATCAGCGTGGAAGAGAACGAGTTTGTCTAAATCTGACAGTAGAATAAAAATATGTAGTCTCTAAAATCAGCAGAACACAGCGATGGCAGCTAGGTGGCGCTGACCCAACGTTTGTCAGAATGATTACAACTAAGAAAAAGACAGAACTGTGTTTAAGATGAAAGAAATTGTCTAGAATGACTCAACATTTGTCCAAAATGGCTAAAACTCGCCCAAAAGGATCAACAGTTCCTCAAAATGATGAAAAATTAGTTGAAATGACAGCAACGTGCCAAAACCTGTCCTCAGATGAACCGGTCCGAAATGACCCAGAATTAGTCCGAAAATGACTGAAATGGTCCAGAATGATTCGACATCTGTCTACAGCGGCTCTACGCTTTTCAAAATGACTAAAATTTGTTGAGAATGACAAGAATCTGTCTAAAATGACCAATCTCATAAGACTACACAGTGGAGCCCGGAGTGGAGGAGCGTAGCGGCTGTACAGCATCCGCAGGAACACGCCACTTCAAACAATCAAAGAAGTTCTGTCTCCTCCTTCATGTGGTTCTGGTTCCACAGAGCTGCAGAGAAACATGAACACGAGTCAGAACTTCAGCAGAACAGATTTACTTGTTCCGGTTTTGCTGCTGCTCTGAAATGTGACTTTTCTTTTACTGACCAAAACTGTTAAAATCTGAGCAAACCAGCTGTGAAACGAAAATGTCCAGATGTTTCAGATGTGTGAGTAAAGACACTAAACTTTGCACTTGAATGTGAGGAAACTGTAGAAAGCAGTCTGAGCTGTTGTGTTCCACTGGACTGTTGAAGCAGGAAGCTGAGTTGTGTTTCTGCAGCGTTTTAATGATGCTGTGGATGATCAGCAGGAAGTCTGATGTTCACCTTTACACATATTAAAGCACTGTTCTGTTGTGAGCGTGGACCAGCATTCAGATGTGATCCCACTGCACTCTGTCATTTATTTAGGATAATATGCTTTGTTATAAATTAGTAAAATGCACGTCTGTATAATGTGATGTTGTTCTGTTTAATTCACTTACTCAGAATTTCTTTTTTTGTCTTTAAATTCAGTTTGTAAGGAAACGTAGCATTTTCTGATTGAATGAGTTTTGTTGTTTTATGAACTCGAGCCTGATCGATTAATCCATCTTTGAATAAAAACTGTGTAAATTCTGTGTTTGCAGCTTCTTCAGTGTTTTCTGGTTTCTTCATCCATCCATCATCTCTACACCTTAACCCTCACTAGGGGGCGGAGCCTATCCCAGCTGACTCAGGGTGAAGGCAGGTTCACCTGGACAGGTAACCAGTCTATCACAGGGCTACACTTAGAGACAGACAACCAAGCACACTCACATTCACACCTACGGACAATTTACAATCACCAATTAACCTCAGCATGTTTCTGGACTGTGGGAGGAAGCCGGAGAACCCGGAGAGAACCCACGCTGCACGGGGAGAACATGGAGACTCCACGCAGGAAGATCCCGGGTGTCCTCACCGGGACGTGAACCACCGACCTTCTAGCTGTGAGGCCACGATGCTAACCACTGATCCACCTGCAGCCCTTTTCTGGTTTCTTTCCTCTCTTAAAGTGAGCTGAACATCTTTGGACTAAACAAGACATTTGAGGAAACTCTGATCCACGTTTTTCACCATTTTAGAGACCAATCAGCTGATTGATTAATGTGGACGATGCTCCACAGGTTCATGCAGGTCTGCTGCAGCTCTCTGTGACTTGTCCTTATGACGGGTTACAAATTAAATAACAAAATAAAGGATGAATTGTGGATCCTTTAAAATCTAGCTGCTTCAACATCCTTTTATTGTGAAAACCGGAGCAACTCGGCTCCGCTCGGTTTGTTGTTGTAACTTGACTCGGAGAGGTTCGGCTCTGCTCGGTTTAACGGGTTACCTAGACCTCGGCTCTGCTCGGCTCTGCTCGGCTCACCGTCGTCCCGCCCTCCACCGGAGCGGAGCGAGATGAGAGCTGGACTCCGCGGTGTCGGACAGGCTGGACGGACCGGGAGGACGGACCGGGAGGACGGACCGGGAGGCGGAGCGCAGCGGCGGGACTTCGTCGTGCTTTCGCGGGGCTTTCTGGCGTGAGAGGCTCCGGAGAGACACCGAGCGGATCGTCGCAGCGAAGGCCGGCCGGGGTGGACTGGTGGCCGCTGCAGCTCCAGCTGCGCCCCGCTGAGCCGCGGAGGACGGAACCGCAGCGACATGTACCAGGTCCAGGTGAGTTCTCACCTGAGTTCCGTCAAGGTTCTATTTCTGAAACTGTCCGCTGAATCGGAGAACACGTGACATTTAGGGTCTGGATGTGACAGGAGCATTAACACCAGAACCAGAACTCACCTGCAGCTCTGCTCAGCTGTGCCTCCCAGTTTTCTGCTGGTTCTGGTGCTCCTCTGCACAGCTTCACTTCTGCTTCCTGCTGAACGTGTTTCAGCATCAACGTGAATCAGAACATTCAAACCAGAACACAGAACCAGAACCTGTGTGCTGCCTCTCCTGCAGATCAACTTTCTCATTGACATCCTCTAAAGATGGATCAGAACCAGAGCATCAGAGTATGACAGAACAGAAACACTTGGATTCTTTGTGTTTTTCGGTCCGTCAGAAGTCAAACATGTTCCTAAATCATGACTCAGCAGACAGAAGCTGCAGATGTTCTACCAGCTGATGGAAGACACCAGACCAGTTAGGTCGCTGCGCAGAACGCTTCCTGAAACCAAAACAGAACGTTTTATTAACGAAGTGTGGAGAAAAGTCTGAAATCTAAGTTTATCTGAGTTTCATCTTTCAGTTTGTAAAAGGTCCAGTTTATAGTGATTATTAATATTTAGACCCAGAAACCTGCAGAATGTTTCCAGCTTCAGAGAGTCAGCTGACCTCTGATTGGCTGCCTGACTGATTCATCCATCAGCTGATTGATAGATTAGTTGTTGCTGCTCAAATAATTGATCTGAAAAGTATTTCTTCTGCTGATGGATTCATGTCGTGTCTGGTTGTGTGAACGCTCCTGGAATGTTGCTGTAACGTTCCTACAACACTTTTGAGATGTTGCTGTAATGTTTCGTAGCATTTCTTGTAGCGTTGCTTGAAAGTCGCTGTAATGTTCTTGCAACATTCCTGAGATGTTGCTGTAATGTTGCTTGGTCATTTCTTGAACGTTGCTATCATGTTTCTTGAAATGTTGCTGTAATGTTGCTATAGTTTCTTGAAACATTGCTTAAACGTTGCTGTAATGTTCCTGCAACATTCCCAAGAGTCTCTAGGCTGTAATGCTGCTTTAATGTTCCGGTAACGTTGCTGTGACGTTTCTTTTAATGTTGCTTTAACATTGCTGTCACGTTCCTGCAGCACTTTTGAAACGTTGCCGTGGCGTTGCCGTAACGTTTCTTGTAAAGTTGCTGTAATGTTCTTGCAACATTCCTGAAACATTGCCTAAATGTTGCTGAGATGTTTCCTCAACATTGCTATAATGTTTCTTGAAATGTTGCTTTAACGTTGCTGTAATGTTCCTACGACGTTCCTAAGCTGTTGCTGTAACGTTGCTGACGTTTTTTCGTAATGTTGCTTTTAACATTGCTGTAATGTTCCTGCAACACTTTGCGACGTTCCTGTGATGTTGCCGTAGCGTTGCCGTAGCGTTCCCTCAGGGTTCTGGCTGTGATCTGCAGTCTGCAGGTTAGATGACCCGCCGCCCGCTGCCGTTCGGGTCACGAAGCTGCTGCAGCGACGGCAGATTTACGCTTTAATTATTCAGCTGCTGTCACAGGAGCGAGCTTCAGTCCTTCATCATTTCCAGCCGGCTGCAGATCCTCGTTCGCTTCTTTGCTCTGTTCGTTTTCTCCTCCTGCGGATCCTTGACTTTAAAATGCCTTAAAGACAGAATCAGGGCGTTTTCAGGACCTTCAGTGGTTTTCAAAGGTCTGAGTGAACGAAGCCTCAAACACCAGCGATTAGACGGATCCAGCAGGAGGCAGTTTCTCCTCCACGAGCAGAGCCGTGACGGTTTCAGTCACGTCAGAAACACAGTCGGACTTTATACAGCTCTGATCCTTTAATATTCTCGGCCTCGAATCTGTCAATCAGAAAAACACCTGCAGCCGTTTTGTTCACGTGAGCATCAGTAAGTTTCTCTGTTTGTGGTTCCAGTGAACTGAGACTCTTTTGAGACCGAACAAGGCAGCAGAAGACGTCCTCCAACACTTTACAGCTGAACGTAACGGGAGGTTTATTGTTGATCCTGGATAGCTGCAGCATGTGGATGGTTCCAGTAAACGGGTTCTGTTGGTCTGGTCTTTGTTCAGGTTCGGAATCTTTCCATCAGGAAAAATAAATCACTGTTCCTTTCATTTATATTGTCATTTATGTCAATCAGCAGCTGACATGAAAACCCAGATAGAGTCCAGAATGAAGAATGTTTAGTCCAAAATGACTAAAACTGTCCAGCTAACCGATAAGTTGTCATATTAACTCTAAGAACGATTAAGACTTGTCTGATGTAACAGACATTTATCCAAAATGACTGAATATGTTCATAAAGAATCAGATTTCTGCCAAAATGCTGAAATGCAACGTTGCCTAGAAGGACCCACAACCGGTTCCCAAAGTCGTCTGGAGCGAGCCGAGGACGGCTGGAGCTCTGCCCAGTTCCTCACAGTTTGTCTGAAATGAGCCAAAACTCGTCCAGAATGACTAAATAACTGATAAAAGTGATTTTAAAACTGTCCAAAATAAATAATTGATTAAACGTGTCCATAAAGAATCAGAATTCTGCAAAAATGACTGAATCTGAATTTATCTAAAACGAAATGTATCGACGACGTCAAACAACAAACATGAACGTTTGTTTCAGCAGAAGATTAAAGATTGAAGAGAAACTCGACCTGAACACAGTGAACGGCAGCAGTATTGATCAGTATTGATCAGTACTGATCAGTCTTGTGGTTCATTCTCTGCAGCTGCTTTATCTTCGGCTCCACATCAAAGCCTGTCTCTTCTCACTTTCCTTCTGTTTTATCTGCACTTTGCTGCTGAGCATCAAAGCCGTCAGCGTGGACAGAATAACCAGAACAGTCAGCCTGAAGCTGCAGCCGGCTCCGTCTATCTGCTGGGTTCTGCTGATTAAAGTCCTGACGGGGAAACTTGAGGCCGACTCACAGAACAGCTGTGAGACGAACTGGAGCAGCGACTCGGCTCAGACTGTTCACAGCATCTCATTTAGTCTGAAACGTATAAACAGAAACAAACAGAAGCTCGACTCACCCAAATACTGACTAAATATAAAGTTAATCATTTTGAAGATCAAGTCCTCGACTTTGTTTTATGTTTGTTGTGACACAATCTTTAAAAAGTATTTCATGGTTACGACACAGAAAGGAAACAGAATGAAGCTGAAGCCATCGATGGTTTTTTATTGTCCTCGTCCTAAATCAGTCAAAATGTCCTGAATGAGTGAAAACTTGTCCTGAAGAAGTAAAAGCTCCAATATCTCCGTTAGACCAAACCATAAAAGTGCAGATTCACGTGAAGCTTCAGGTTTCAGAACACCTGAGATTCTGCTGCGTCAGAGAAAACTGAACCCAGAACGTCAAACATGGAGCTGCTTCCTGTTCAGTACGCAGGAGCTCGATGGGTTTTCAGGAACAAACGTTCAGGTTACAGCATTAGTCCAGTGAATCCCAGAGCGCTGGCCGTCTGCTCAGTGAGCTTCACTCCAGCACACGTCTGACTCACGTTTAACGGAAATATTCAGACGTGAGCTTCTGCTTCTCCGCTTTATATTATTATTGTTGTTACTGTTAGAGCGTGACTTTGAGCTTCATCAGGTTCTGCTGATGCTAGAGCCTCAACAGATGGTGGAACATGGATCCATCCATAGATAGACGCTGACAGGAACGCGCTGGATCAGCACCGGTCCGGGTGATGAGCAGCACCTTTGTTTCCATTCTCAAGGACCAATAATTCAAAGTGTGTCCTTGGTAAATATTCTATTTAGTGAATATTGTTGATAAAATAGGTCTAAATGAACCTCATACTGACCGGATCAGAACCACCCTCACTACAAATCACAGCTGTGTTCTGGCAGACCAGGTGAGTCTGGGCCGCTGTGACCTGCAGTAACCTCTTCCTGTTGTGACGCCACTGAGGACGCACTTCCTGC